AATGTCATTGCATGTACACTATTTGACCATTTCTTCAGACCTGGAATTCCTCTCATTTTGGCAGTAGCTCAGAGGGCTTTATTTTAGACATAAATAACCTGGGGACTATGATACCTACTTTAATTTTTTAGTTGGTAGTTTATCATTAAGGCTGAGCCTGTTCAAATAAGTACAAGATTCACTTTAAAAAAAAAATATTACTAAGCATTTCTACAGTTAAAATTGATGAAGTTCTTTTAAAAGTTTTGTTATTTGCTCCATTTTATTTTCACGGATGATTTTTCATTACACAATAATTTGTTATGCTGGACCCTCTCAGTTGCAAGGATCAGATACCTAACTCAGCCTTGCCTAAGCAGAAAAGGGAATGTATTGGTTTATATTGTAGGTGCGTCCATGGGTAGATCTGAGACACAGCTGGATTTAAGAGCTCAGCAATGTCATGCTTGTGTCTGCCCATTTCTCAGCCTTCCTTGTCTGTGTGGTATTACGTTCAGACTGACCTTGATGGGTGAGAAGGTCAGTCACGGCTGTCCTCCCATCACCCCAGTCTAGCAACCATATGTACTGATGTCCTGGAACAGTCTGTTCAACTCAGCCAATCTTGAGTTTCCTGTGAACCAGTGCTTTGGGCAGGGACATGAGGTACTCAGATGGTCATCCAGTGTCACATATTTTTTGTGCTACAATGTCGGGGGCAGGGAATTGTGACTGAAAACCTCATTCCACAAGGCAGTATATAGTAGTGGAGAAGTTTCCCCAGAGAGGGGGGCAAAAGAGTGTTATTATAAGAAACAGCTATTATCACACTTCTACCACCAAAAATTTATAAGAGCAAATCAGTTACGTAAAATGTTAATATGCCATAAAAAGATGTATTATGGGAGACAATAATTCATCAAGTAATCCACATGCTTTCCCTCTTTTACCTTCCTCCTTTCACACTGGGCAAAAAAAAAAGGGACAAAACCATTAATGGGAAAAAATATTTTTAAAGGAATCATTTTCTCTTTCACTTTCAAGTATTGACTCAGCCTCTCTCTAGCTCTCCTAAACACCTTCTCACACGCATTTGCAGTTGTCATTTGACTTAACAGTTTCCACCAGCTGTGAGGAACCCTTTCCAGCAGAGACTAACGTTTCATTTCGGTTCCAGCTGTGCCTACCACAGTATTCAGGTGCACACAGGTGCTTGGTAAAGGTGCGTGGATGAGTTGGCAGTGGATGCCCGGCACGTGCCTGCCTGGCTTCAGAAGCAGGCTCCGAGGAGCTGGGGAGCTGCGACTGCAAGATGCAGTGTGTTGGTGTTGGAATTTACACTCCTCTGTCATCCCATCCCCAATTTAAGCTTTTGTTTTGTTTTTCCTGTTTGTTTATTTCTTTTACTTGGCTCCCCAGCCAAGTAATCAAGGGGGCGGTATGCGCGCCAGTTCATAAATTCCAATCTCTCTGTGTGCTTAGTGATTGAATCAATAGCTGTGACATTTAGTCCTACAGTAATGACAGTGGGGACGAGAAGACAATCCTGGGCAGTGTGGTTGTCTCACCCTCCTGAGAAGAGGTCCCTTTCTGTTGTCATCTTCAGCAACTTAGTATGTCACAGAAGTCAGAGTGAGATGATCAGTGGTTTCGTGTACTTTCTGTAGACTCAGCAAGATGGCGGCAGGGGAGAACGCTGTCTCCCAACCTCAGCTTTCACTCTCAGTCATTCACGTTGCTTCTCCCAGATCTGTCTTCTCCCTTTGCAACTCCAAAGCCCACACCCCCATTGGACTGGACTCTATTACAAGCTAAGACAGAAACTTCTAGATTAATATGAAGATGTGCCCCTATTTTTTTTTTTAAATAAAAATCAATACTCTCTGGGAAATGTAAGGGCAAGTCTCCTTCCCATTTAAAAAAGTGTCACGGCTGACAACTTTGTCTTATAAAAGGTGGCTGTATCAATCAAGTTTCAACCAGAGAGACAGAACTAGTTGGAGATATATATTAGGAAATTTATTCAGGGAATTGGCTTATGCAATTGTGGAGGCTGTTTAGGTAAGTCTGAAATCATAAAGCTGACTGTCAGGAAGGGTGGGCTGGAGAGCTTGGATATGGGCTGACGCTGGTGTCCACAGGAAGAATATCTTCTTCAGGGAAGCCTAAGCTCACCTTTTGAGGTCTATCAGCTGATTGAATCAAGACCACCCAGATTATCTAGGATAATCCCTCTTACTTCAAATCAATAGATTATGGACTTCAATCACATCTACAAAATACCTTTAAAGCAACACCTAGATTAGTGTGAATGAATGACTGGGCATGGTAGCCTAGCCAAGTTGGTACAGAAAACTGACCATCAGAATGGCTGATTGGGGTTCTAGAAGACACTCTGTTGACATATGAAATACAGGCTTTCCTTGCTACAAATTCCAAAACCTCTACTGCCTTTATACTGAATTGTACAGACTTTTTAGAGGACTATTTTTGGCGATTTAGACTTAGGTGAATGTACTTGTGTATGTATGTTGTTATTTACTTTTTTCAGTCCTATGTTTGTTTCATAAACCATAGCAGGTCCAGAAAGGTCAATGAGATAGTCAGCAGGTGTAGTCTGTGAACCCTGATTTAGATCTCATTATTGTATGTTTGCAGTGCATGTTTTTCTTTCATTACATTTTTATTTACCTTCATTACCTTCCACAAGTATTTGTCAGACCTCTGTGATGTGCCAGAAACTGTTCTAGGCACTTGGGATATTTCATTGAACAAGACAGTTTCTGCTCTATGGTGCTTATATTCTAGTGGAAGACAATAAAATAAAAAAAAAAATTACTACATGATTTTATAGTGGTGATAAGTAGTGACAAGTGTTAAGAAGAATAAAGTAGGGGAAGGGAATAGGCAGAGATGGATATATATGTGTGCAGAGCTAGCTACACGATTTGCAGTGCAAAATAATAATTTAGTGTTCCCTATTCAAAAACCAGAAAAAAGTGTCATTAAAGGTACTAAAACATAAAACCTTTTCCTTTTTTCATGAATCTCTTTCTGGAAAAGTCTTTTTTAAAAAAACAATGATGATTATTATTATTTGCTATTTAATGCTGTTCTGAGTAAAAAACAATTAGAAATTTAGATTATTAGCATGAATTATATTGTGCACTGCCCACTTTAAATGCAAATGTAAGAGCAGAATGATTGAGATTGCACAATTAGCATTTCCTCGTTCGTACTGTATTTTGTTTTTATCAGAACAGTGAAATGCTGCACAAAACCTGTTTTTATTTCACGTCTTGACACATGCACATTCTACCCACAATTCGCCTTTGTCTTACCGATGAGTAGGAAAGGAGTGGAAGCAGAAGGAACTGTGGTTGCTCTCCCTTTCCCTTTCCTTCTATGTCATCATCATCAGTGTAAGTAGTTGCCTAAAACAGGGAAGTAATACAAGTGGGAAAAGATAATGGTAGGATTCCTTGATCATTTACGTTTCTTAGAAAACAACTGATTCTTTCTGCGTTGGAGGCAGTGCTGGTTCCTCAGTGTGGCCTCTTGGGCTGTGTGTGCCCCTGCTCACAGGCTGACCAGGCTCACCTCTAATCACTTTGACTTGCTGAGTTCCTCTGTGTCCTGGGTCCATGAGAATTCTGTGCTCATCACTAATGCTCTGTGCAAATGGGTGGCAAGGCTGGGGGATGCTCATGTGTGTATTTCCTCTGCTCTCATATGTGCTCCACTGTCCCATCAGACTTCACTTACAAAACAGAAGTTCAAAGATAACATTATTAAGAATGTCAAGATGGCAACATTAACCCAAGAGCATTAAACCAAGCATGGAGCCCTCCTGAGCATGGGGCCCTGTGTGATTGCACAGGGTACATGTCCATGAAATCAGGTGTGTGTGTGTGTGTGTGTGTGTGTGTGTGCTCTTTTAGATAATATTGATAAGGATGTACTGTCTCATGAGGTGACATTTGATAAGTGTCCTCAAGAAAGCAAGGAAGCAGGGCAGGAGCAGCATGTTCAGAGGTCCCAAGGCACATGGGTCTTCGGTTTATACTCAGAAGAGTAAGGAGGCTACTGTGGTTGGATCCATAGCAAGAGCAGGAGAGGTGGGAGATGACATCACAGAGGCAGTGGATCCCCGAATAATGCAGGCCTTGAAGGCTGAGGCGAGGACTTGGAATTTTTCTAGGAAGAGATGGGAAGCCTTGGGAGAGTTTGAGCAAAGGCATAGCATGCCATGGTTAGATTTTAGAAGGATCCCTCTGGCTGCTATGTGGGATTCTCTGTATGGGGACAAGGTTGGAAGTGATGAGCCAGTTTTGGAAACTGTGGTAACAGACCAAGCAAAGATGGAGCCTTGGACTGGGTGGTATGGATAGCAGTGATTAAATATGGCTAGATTCTGGGCATAGTTCAAAACTAGTGGCAACAGGAGTTGCACAGAAAATGGATTTGTATCTAGGGTCCTTGCCCGAGAAGCAGAAAAAATGGTCCAGTGAGGAATAGTGAATTTTCCGAGGTTCTCCAGCCAGTGCATGGAAGAGCTGGGGAAGGCTGAGAGCAGAAATCTTGGGTACTTTTTCTTCTGTCCTCCTCTGTCTGCAATGTCTCTAGACTTTCCCCAAATAGCTCCTATAACATGCTTTTCAGAACATCTTTTCTTGTGTAGCTGAATCAGCATGTATTACATCTCCAGGATTTCAACTGGATATCGCACCTTGGAATAGCTTCTCTGAACATAAGGTTCTGGGTGAAGTGACTCTACCACTAACCCATTTTTTTTTAAGCTCTGTGTAGGGACTGGCTGTCTTCCACAGTTTCATTTTAATAGCATCCTGACAGTTCCCCTCCCCTCCCAGACCTCGTCCATTGTACTAAATATCTCTTGGCCACCCCTACTAAAATGGAATTAACAAAAGAAAGATTTTGCTGCTGGGCTTGATGTACAAGTGCACCCCATACAAACCCAAATGATTTAACTATATTTGACATATTTTTCTGCTTTTCAGCACTTTCAGACCATGTTGAAGTCTAAACTGAATGTCCTCACACTGAAAAAGGAACCCCTCCCAGCGGTCATCTTCCACGAGCCGGAGGCCATCGAGCTGTGCACAACCACACCCCTGATGAAGACAAGGACTCACAGTGGCTGCAAGGTAGGGGGCATGTGGCCTGCAGGGCTGCTCTCGCAGGGACAGGCTGCAGGATGTGTGACCTGGAGAACCTTGTTTCACAGTGGTACCATTTTTTTTTTTCCTTTTCTTGTCTTTTTTCGTGTCCGGCAACGGATCGCAACCCTCAGTGTCGCGCCCGTACCGGACCGGGACCGGCAATGGGATCGCAACCCTTGGTGTTGCGCCCGCACCTCGCTCAGCCAGTGAGCAGGAACCGGTCTGTATGTGGGATCCGAACCCTAGGCGGGAGCGCCGCCACGCTCCCAAGCGGCGCACTGTAGCAGTGCGCCACCGGGCTGGCCCGCACAGTGGTACCATTTTTAAGAATGAAATATAAAACAACAAAATAAGCTCATTGAGTGATGGTACTAAGAATTCATATACTGTTTTAGTTCTCTTAATGATAAACAGACTTCATCATTTGGAAGTACACGTTAAAGATGTAGGTTTTAGGTTATGTGAATAAAATAGTATTCTTGCTGTGTATTCTGTAGCTCTGTGGAACTTCAGGCTTCACAAGCAAAGTTTTATCCTTAGTGATAATTTCTCCCTTTGTACTTACAATCTGAATAAAACATATCTTAAAGAATAAGAAAAAAAAAAGCCAAAAAGAAAAAAAAAACAAGTTTTCCAACAGTTGTACTCTCTGAGTCTTTTGGGGGTAGTTTGGCATTTTTGCCTGGCTTCAGCTCTCAAAATTTATACTAATATTCATGCCTCAGAATCCATAAAACATTTAAAAAAATTTATGCAAATGGTAATGCCGACATGGAAACAGAACTAGAAATGAAATACATAATTTTGGTAAGCTTTTGGATTCTTTCTCACATGATATTCTCTTTTGCTTGAGTTGGTGAATATAGTAATTGATTTAGAGGTAACAAAGAAAATATGTTTTATGCGTATTTTGTCATCAGAAATTTGCTTCGAGTAGTGAAAATAAGAAGCAAGGAAAACGCGTGTTTGCTGTGTGCTCTGTGCGTGGTCTTGTATAGGTGTGCTCCTTTCCTCACTCCTTATTGCCAGGGCAGCGGTTCCTGCATAGCTGTGGTTGGGTTGGAGCCTACGACAGTCCTGGGGAATGGTGCTATGCACAGAACCTCACACATTTATTCAGCCCACACATACTTACTGGGTGCCCACTGTCTGCTAGGCACTGGGTCACAACGTGAGCAAGACCCACCAGCATCTTTATGGAATTTAACTGCTGGTTGGGGGTAAGGGGAGGAGAAAATGTGGGTAAACAAGTAGAAGAATCTGTCAGGCAGAAAGAACAGGGTATGCTAATTCTCTGTGGTGGAAATGGTCTTGGCATGTTTTGGAATGGAAAAGAATGGGCCAGTGTGCCTGGGAAGCTGAGAAAGTTGTGGTGGGTGGTGGGGTCGGGCAGGGAAGAGCCTTGTGGTCATGGCAAGGAGTTTAGACTTTGTTTTAATTACGATGGGGAACTATTATCATTGGGATTTAGGCAAGTGAGTTCTAAGACTTCATTTTCAAATGCCTATTTTTTTAAAGGAATTTATTTTTTATTTAATGTTTAGATAGAAAATTATTTTGTTAATGTAGAAATGAAGGAAAACATCACAAATTTAGATCAATTGATAAGGAGCAAATTTAATGCTCAAAGATTTACATCCTTAATGCAGAAAGAACTCTTAAAAATGAATTAGAAAAATGTAAGCAGAAATTTGGTGAATGACATGAGCAGATAAGTCACACCCCCCGAAGAATCACACTAGTAAGAATATTATGGGATATTGTTGTGGGGGTGGGGGGCGCGGGGCTGGCCCTCGGCTCCTGTCTCAGGTCCCCTGGCGGCTGGCTCCGTTGCTTGCCTGGTTCTGGGCCATTATTTTTTAATTGAACATATTGATTGTACATATTTATGGGATGCAGAGTCCGATTTCAGTATGTATATACAATTTGTGATGATCAAGTGAGGGTAATAAGCATATTCATCATCGCAAAACTTTATAATTTCTTTGATTTTCTCTCTTCTAGCCATTTGATAACATACAACAAATTACCATTAATTATAGCACTACTGTATACCATTGGAATGTATTTAAAACGTGCTTTTATTTTTATGTATTTATTTATTTAAAAAAATGTAATTGAAACATAATTGATTATATGTATTGGTGGGGTGTAGAGTTGAATATCAATACCTGTGTACCATAAATGATGATCAAATCAGGATAATTAGTATACTCATCTTTACAAAACATAATCATTCTTTGTGACTTTTAACTGGTAATATTGTTTTTTCTTTTAAATTTTTAAACATTTTTATTATTTTTTAATTTATTTTCTATATTGTAACATAGTTGATTATACATATTTGTGGGGTACAGAGTTGACTGTCAGTATTTGTGTACAATATGCGATGATCAAATCAATATTATTAGCATGTTCATTGTTATAAATCGTAATTACTCTTTGTATCCCTTACCCAGTTTCTCCCTACCCCTCTCTCCCCTTCTACTTCCCAGCTCTGGTAACCACAGGCCTGTTCTCTTCTTCTAAAAGTTCAACGTATTATTGTGGTCAGTCCTTCCTCCCCCCCTCCTTCTCTCCCTTCCTTCCTTCCTTCCTCTTTCTCTTTCTTTCTTTCATTTATTCATTCATTGAAAAAGCACATTTAAATGGTGACTCTGATAAGGTGAACTTCCAGCTTCCCGAGAGCAGCTGGCAGTGGCTTGGCCAGTGCCACTGGTTCACAGTCTACAGAACTGGCCTTAGGTCCATTGTGTTTAATACTTTTGATGAATTGGTGATATGAAGGAATTGTAAAAATACTCATTAAATTTGAAAGTGATGTGAGATCCAATTCGTTTTACACCCTTTAGAAGGCTTACTGAAGTCATTTTGAATTCTGCTCCTATTAGGGAAGAGGGTACCTCAAGGCAAGATGAAGTCAGTAGGCACAGGTATTAAGAAGGGAATTTAGTATGATAATGTCTACAGAGTTCATTTAAAATGGAAAGGAAAAAAATATACAGAATAAAAAGACCTGGCAGTCTAATTCAGATTTGAAAGAAATGTGCGTGTGTGTGTGTGTGTGTGAGAGAGAGAGAGAAATATTTGCTAGGAGAATAAAAACCATCATTTTTCTGAAAAGGAGTACAGGGTTCAAGATTCATGGACTAGTTCTTCCTGTGTACTGCCTTAGGTTGTGTTCATTTATTTTACTTCTAAAAGGATGTTGAAAAAAATAGTAGGAATGCAGAAGGGCATGCCAAAGAGGGTGAGGGTTGGGCTGGCGCCAGTCAGTGTGGCGAGCTAGACAACGGGAAATCAGCAGTGATTGTAGTTGGACACAGGGAAGAACCTCTGCATTAAAGGTGAAAAACACATTCCACTGGGCTATAAAAAAATTTATGAACTCTCCATCCCTAGAAATCATGAAGAGGAGATTCCAGGCGTGGATAATCACTACCCTGGAGTCAGGGATCCGGGCCAACACGTCTTGAGGTCCTTTCCAGCTTTATTATTCTACTGAAGGAGGAAAACCTGCAACGTGTAATTCCCCAAATTGTATCCTATCAACCTTATCCGTTTAACTGTAAATGTACTGGAGTTATATTCCTTAGTTCTCGAGGACAATATCACGTTTGTGTTCAGAGTCATATTCTTTTGTTAAAAAAAGAAAAGGTTTTCAAACGTTGAAATTTCTGTTTACAATCCCCAGACCACCCCCATTTTTTTCCGATCGTCTTGAAGAACAAAGTCCAGTGTTTCCTCTCTGATTTTTGCGAGGAGCTGAGCTCACAAGCTGCCAGCTGCAGAAGGAACTCTCTCTCTCGGGCCCAGGCCTACCAGGAATAATAAGCACAATGTAGCCCGGGCCCAGCTGCAGGGCCGGCTACGGGACACTCCATCGTCACACAGTGCTAGTTCTTTTTCCTAACAAAAAGATCTCAAGTTGTGCCTGTATAACTTTTGGTTTGGGGAGGGAAAGAGACAGGAGGAAGCAAAGGAGAGGGGGCGTTGAAAATGGGTTATGGTGAGCACCACCGAGACCCTGGCTCACGTCAGATTTCCCCTTTCCCTCTGATCTGTATTCTCCGTGGGTCCTGACGGGATTGTCCTGCCAGCCTATTCATGTTTCAGGCAGCTGGGTCTTTGTGTGTTCTCCTCTGTGGCTGCCTCTTTTTTTTCTGGAGTGGAGTTATTTAACTGCACAACCTACTGCATCCCATTAGGACTCTTGCTGGAGCTGTTGGGAGTATCAGATGCTGTGTCGATTTTGCAGCAGCAATGATAGCTTGTCACACTTCTCTCCTCCTGCCTAGGAGAGTCCTACGTGGCTTCAGCTCGTGAGCAAACATTTATTGAGTTAACATTCATTGCAAACCTACTGTGTGCATGGAATCATGGAGAAAGGAATCAAGATCAGTGTTGTGGGTGATACAACATATAGCCAGGTGGAAAGAATAAGACAAGTGCCCAAATAAATTGCAAGTGCTTCAGAAACGTGTGTGTGTCTCAGAATCCCTTGGCAGGCAAATCCTGGATCTTCCTCCCAGAGATTTTGATTCAGGCGCTCAGCTTAGTGGTGGGGAACAGGAGCCCGTACTATAAAATATGCCATGTAACCTACATGACAGTGGACCGTACTTGGAGCTTGAAGACCTGGACCACAGAGTGGTGTGTGGTAGGAGCAATGTAAGTGACATAAATGGACACATACCCTGGGATGTGGGGGATGGGGTGGAAATGGTATTTGGGGGCTGACTAGCCCTTGCATGGTAAGAATAACTGCATCCCAAGTGTGCTGTGTGTGTGACACGTTGACTCCTGGGCTCACTCACCAGAGTTCTCAAAGCCTTCCCAAGATAGTGATAATAATGATAATGATAATAAAAAAAGCAATATAAATACTAATCATACAGAAATAGTGGTGTTAAAGGGCAGATGCTTATTGATATATTAAGCACTGATCTATGCTCTTTTCATGGTATAGAGCCATTACATCCTCA